TCAGATATCTCAAGAAGTGCAAGGAGTACAAACATGTACCTTTCCTGGGATTACTGTCCTCTGGGGACCAAACTAACTTGTGGAAATACAAGTACCAGGAAGATCTAAGTAAAGAAACTAATAGGATGCTTTGAATTTGCATCTTAAACATTTTTTCCATGCCACGCTGTAGAAACACAACGGAAGTAAAATTGGCAAATACCATCCATATGCTATACTACAAAATGACTGACAGAGCACAATGTGAACATTACTCCTGGACTGAACCAAGAGAATGCATTAAAAAAATGCATAAGTGGAATACTGATATACATTAACTCAATCTTCTCTTATTATGGAATTAAAGAACTTATACCTGTAATTATGGCTTACCCCCATTACAAGCAGAGCTGCCACAGAACTGAACACGGGCCAGCTTTGTGCATAAGTTCAAAGCCAGTGTGATGTTGCCTTATTTTCTTACGATCATCATCTTTATCCTCCCTTGCCCTTCTTCTCAGTTAACAAGAGTTATGTACTGAAAGTGCTGAGATAAAGTAATGGTAAGGAGGATACTGCAAAAGGTATTTGAAAAGCAGAAGTAATTTACTACATGTCTGCTTTGTTTTACTTCCTAAGCCTTCCTGTTGTGAAAGGAAATTCATCTTTTCTGGCAGACTCCAGCCTTTTTAGGCCTGAGAGCTCCCCAGGAGCTTTCGAGTGCAGGTAAATGGATGCGAGACTCAAGGAGTACAGTACAAGGAACATGGAATTAATGTTGGTTTTTGCTTTGGCTGTCACGTCTGACGTATAAGGAGAGTGCTACATCCTTGCTTGCAGTAAGTATCTAGATGTAAAAAACACAAGGCTGAGTCCTCTGCTCATTACTATGGGTCTGAAATGCCACGAATGGAAAGGTCATGTTACTGGTGGGTGAAGCATGTAGGATCTACACCCAGCAAAGTCTCCACGTGAGACAGATGTCGGGGTGCTCCAAGCCCCAGGGCCCTGTGACGTAAAAGCGCAGAAGAAGGACTGTGGATGGACAATAGGTGCAGCCTGTATTCTGCACACAGCAGAGACCCCAAGAGTAGGCACAGGGGAAGCATCCACTGCCTAATCTAAATAGCACACAGAGTGGTTTTGTCCTCTTCTGTTCTCCTGCCAGTTTGCACATATGTTCTGAGTATACAGCCTGCCCTCCAAAGACCACTTACAGGGGCAATCACAGGGAAGCAAAGCAGGAAGAAAGTATCCAAAAAGGGAATTTGTTCAAGAGAAAAAAATGGAGACAGATGTAAAGCGACTAGTCACGGCTGGCGGTAAATAACCCTCTGCCTGGAGTGCTCTCTTTCTCTAAGAGGAGTTCACATATTCCATTTCATATTTCCTTTCTAGGAAGTCAAATCTTTGTTTTCCTGGCATTTGTTCTTTTTTTTCTTTCCCCATATACTTTTTCCCTTCTGTACGGTCTAAAATTGTCTCTCATTTTCCCTTTCCCTTCTACGTTGTGCTCTCTTTCAAGTGCGACATTCTCCAATCTCCCTCTGATGCAGACCTAATTTCCCTGCACTGTCCCAGGCAACACCTTTTGCTACAGCCCTCTCATTAGTCTCTGTGCCACGAGCACTTCCCTCTGTCTCTACATGTGCATAAGCATACGGGTGCTTCACACCTGCTCCTGTGTTAAGAGTCCCCACTTTTTCTCATGTGCACACCTCAGAATTAAGCAAATGCAACACACACAGACAGAATATTCATCCTCTCACTCCCATAAACCTGTCAAGGCATATAGGCCAAGAAGCTATCTCTGCATAAATCTAAATCTCCTGCGAGGAAGCAATCTACTCAAAGGCAATAAAGCCAAAGGATATATTATTATCTTTGGTGTGGATCCTACTGGGCTGGGAGGTTGGCTGCTGGCTCCTCTCTGAACTTTCCTTCCCAGCCAGAACAGCCATCCCACAGACAAGTCTAAGCTTCCTTTCCTTGGTCTGATTTCCTCCTCCTGTTGTTTGGCTGGTAACCCAAAGGACAGGGTTTAATTATGGAGTTTGGAAACCTGGCTTACGCTACTCTGCCAGCACAGGATAAAACTTCAGCCTGCCTCCTGAACCAGCATCATTCTGCACCGTTGATACCTGCATTATCCCACGCAGCATAAAATGAACCACATGGAAGAAATGCCAAGTCAAACAAAAAGACGGTTTTAGTCTTTAAACTTCTACTGCGAATTTCAGTGGGAAAAAACCAAAACACTGAAGCTCAGAGATTATTGTATGTTAAAACTGTACCATCATTTTGACTGTAGACTAAATAAACAGCCAGGCCTTTCTCTGGACAGGAGAGACATCGGAAAGGATGGATCTGAAACAGGCCCAGGTTCCAGAGCTCCCCTCTCAGAAAGGAACACTGCGGCGAGCCACCGGGTAATACGGGATGTTAACATCATTTGTACAGCTTTCAGATGACCAATATATTTTCTAGGCAGATGCCCCATCGAAGACTCATAAAACATCTTACCCTTCTGGAGATAAAGCACCCACGTCAAATACAAAGGGCCAGGCGTTAATATCAGACCCACCTGTGATTTTTAAGGTAAGGCAGGGCACTGTGCACAGACCGCAGCAGGATGTGTCCCTTGGGGGGGAGCACCTTGTGCCAGTGACATACCACTGTTGCCCTGGCATGGAAGGACATGTCAGTACTGTTTTATCCTTCACCACTGATGAGCTGTGGCTCTTCAGGTAATCTCTCTGCCAGCTGTGCTCTTGCAGTGACCCTGTTTTATAAGAAGCTGAGGCAATGAATTCAGAGGACAGGCTGCTGGAAAGCCACGGCAGAAGTATTGGGGTGGGGCTGCATAGATATAGCATAAAGATGGTTTGAAAGTGCATCCCACGCAGGCAGGATAAAGCTCTTTTTCTTCATAGCTGTGACAGTGATAGATAGCTTGGTGGATCTGAGCTATATCTAGTTGGTACCTGGCTTGAGTCCCTGATGTTGCAAGGTGATTTTCTGCCCTTTCGCAGGCAAGACTAAGCAGAATCTGGGATTTTTCTGTAGTAAGCGAGGAAGGTCATGAGGAAGGAAGAACCTTCTATTCTCTGACTTGTTCTTGCCTTTCTGAGCACCTCAGGAAGTTTGACATGGGCAGTTGCACTTCATGATGGGCACCCAGTGGTGCCAAGAGTGGCGAAGGTGCTTTGGAGGTGTAAAGCTTTAGGTGTTTCTCTTGTCCAGCTCAGCGGCTCAGTGCCACCATCTAGTCAGGACTTGGATGAGACAGAGGTAACGACCACATGTGGGGGAAACCACCAAGAGTGACAGCAAAATTAATAGCCAACCTCTGGCTGTTGCACAAATGGAGAACATTTGTCATTAACAGAGTATCCCAAAGTTTGGGGGGAGATAGCCCCCAGTCTGACAATGATGTAGAAGCAGTGATCCAGTCAGCTTTTAGCCATCTGCGTCTGCAGAGGAGGTTGTGATCTCTCCCTTTCAATGGGCGCTGAGCTTTTGTTCGTGTTTTTGCTGCTCCATGAGCAGACTAGTTTAGTACAAGGTGAAGCTCTGCCTTACATCATCTGGAGCCTGGAGCTGATGGAGGAAACAGCCCCTAGTGTCTGCTGAGCAGGACACCTCGCTGAAAACACCAGAGCCCTAGGGACGGCGGCGGCAAGGCAGTCACGGGGAGCCTGGCACTTGTCTGCCTGCAGGTCCACCCTCTCCTCCTGCCAAAGTGCCACATCTGCAGTCAATAAGGGCCCACAAGCTGGCTCCTCCTCATTAGAGGAGAGAGGGCAGCTGGCAGGGGATCCTCCAAGGGCTCCCAGGCGCAGGAATCAGTCCCCTCCCAGTCTGGAATAGCCCAAATTTGGTGACTTTCTGGGCATGCTGTAAAGGACAGCTGTTTGACAGGGTCTCCAGAGAAAGCTATGGGTATGTTTCCTACATGATGAAGGATATAGGTGGCTGGCTAAGTGCCCACAGAACTGATTTTAATGCTGTTCAGGTTGAATTTACTTTTCTGTGCTGTATAGTTCATTATACACAGTGCCCTGGACAAGCATGTGTTGTTTCAAAACAAACCCAAACCATACTATTTTAAATCCAAACAAACAAGAAAGAAAAAAAATAGGTATTGCGAAAGATCCTTTGGGCTTTTTAGAGGGCCTTCTCAGACACTGGGAGGCTGGAGATGAAAGTACTGCTTGCCTTCGTCTAACAAATAAGACTTCTGTTATTTTTATTGGCGATAAATATTTGATTATTTAGCTGTAAGCAAAACTGAGGCATTAACTTTACCTATGCATGTAGCACTGACCCAGAAAAATATTTCCAATAGAATTAAGCACCCAGATGATCTCAAGATAAGTGATCAATGGACAGTTAAGTATGTAACATAACATAACCCAAAAGATGATCAACAAGAAAGATCACACACTGAGAAGAGGCAGAAGAGCTGCTTCCTAAACCTTACAAAGTGTAACGCCCAGTAATATCTATTTTGATATGAAGCCTCCAATCACACTTCATATTATTACAGATTAATGAAACAACTCCTTCTGTAAGTCTCTTAAAAGTCATTACTAAGTGAACTCAAGTGTTGTATAATGCTTGAAAAGTCCTTCTACCTTATATAAGTTTAGGGATGTTTATTTAAACAGTACAACTGTAGGGCACAGCCCAGACAGGTACTGCTTTTTGCTAAGCGATTGTCACCGCTTTACCAGAATTGAATCTGGACATTTTGACAGAAAAAGACCGCCTATCTTTTGCTGCATTATTTAAATACTTCAGATATTTGGCCAAAATACAGAAGTGACACACTACAGAAACATTCACAGCTGCAGGAGCAATAAAACCTCTACAATATTTTCATTAGACTGACCTTTTCTAAGAAGAAGTTACAAGATGTTTAGAATTGATCACCTTCCTATACAGCATTCAGTGTATTCTGATAACAAAGCAGAGCAACTGGAGATGATGTTCTTGGGCTCCTGAAAGCTGTGGCTTACCTGGCTCCACTTCATGCCATCCACTTGACTGGCTGCCACTTCCTGGAGAGCGCCCTTGGCTTGTATAAAACGGCTCCTCACCAGGACTGTCCATCTCATCCTCCACAGACTTGAGACGTTTTGTAGAGCTGAGAAAGTAAAAACACATAATAAATACTATATGCATGCAAAGGAACAAAGGCACTTCTGTTGGGACATATCTTGCTAGCCCTGCTTGAGACTAACTTGGCTATGGAAACTATAACAGATTTGGGCTCTGAGAAGGGGAAGGTATAAGAAGTCCCGCACAGCCATCCTGTGTGCCCAACCTCTCAACATCCACTTTTTGTTTCTGATTTGCTTCGTTGCCAATGACTAAGCTTCAGTGAGATGATACAAACCAACCTCTCACAGAGTCCAGACTGAAGCCCTAAACACATATTGGTTTAACTAGAAGGCAGTTTAACATTTAGGCTTTCATAGATCAAAAAGTAGGACATTTTTCAAAGCACATAGAGGTCAATAAAAAGACAAGAATTTAATTTGTATTTCATGATTTTTGCAATTTGAATGAATATGGTAATGACACACAAGACTTATTTTAACTGTCAGATTTTTCCACATCTTATTCTGGAAGACAAATTGTTTATCAGTTCAAACTTATATTTTCAATCTTTTAACCGTAGCCATTAAATTAACCCAGAATGCAGTCCCATAAGAAGAAGCGTAGACAAGTGAATGATGGAAGAATCCATTCTTGGTTCAGATGTTCACGTTATCCTACAAGTATAAGCATTTTACTCTGCAACTGTGTGCCACCAAGCATAAAAAGCCCCCAACAGGTATCTCTGTCCAGTGCCAGTACTAAAGGAGTCCCTTGTAATATATCACACCTCCCTCACCAAAGGCTCAGGAGACAGAAGAGCCCTTTCAGTGGTCTCTGGTGGCCACTGACTCAGACTCTGGTAGTTCTGCAGGGAGAGGATCCCAAAGCCAAAGACGCTCAGCTTGGCTCTGTTTTCTATAATGAGTTGTACAGACTGCGTGGGGACATTACCGAGAATTTAACTTCTAAGTACTTTTCCAAGGCTGGGTCAGCTCACTTTTTTCACCAAATCTGTATTCTATTAAGACTTAAGGCATTCAAGAACAGGCTCTGCTGTGTAGGGGGAACATATTTAACAGACATAAAATATTCCACTGCAATTTCTATTGGTTTAAAACTTGCAGCCTCTCCACAGCTCCCCACCCGAAGCTCTGCACAGGTAGGAGCTGGCGGGTATGCAAAATCAGTTTGTGAGAAACAGGAAGAATAAGTCTTGCGGTATGCGTGGAATGCAGGTTTGGCCATTCCTTAATTTAGAGAATTGTTATGTGTCAATAGGGGAAATTGTGTGCATACAATATAATTACCGCCTGATAATTCTGCTGAGTCTGTGTATTTAAGGAATATTTTTTTTTCTGACTGGGAACAGCCTAATGAGAGGAAAACAAACATATTACCAAGTTATTAACTACCCATGCTGTTTATAATTAGCTCCTTATCAGTGGTAGCTATTTGCAGAAGAATGGGAGAGCAACAACTGAGCTCTCAAGTAACATTAATAACCTCACTTTTTTGCTTCTGGAGTCACAAGTAAATTCTACCTGAGAATGGTGCTAATGATGAGCACTGTAGGGTATGCAGTTTACACGCAAAAAAGAAAGAGCACAAAGTTTTTAATTGATGTGTAATGGGAATTGTAGTCACTGAGCTTCATAATGTGCACACTAAGTGCAAGATGTAGAATGTTCTTCCAATCACTGCAAACTGTAAGAAGTTATTGCTAAGAGCCTCTCTAAAGATTTGTTTTTTAAATAAAAACAACAGCTATATTCAAACTATAGAGACTTTTTACATGTGTACTTGCTTACTGCAAAGCTGGTGGCACGGCAGACTGAGATAAAAACGTAAAAGAAACTTGGACTGAAGTTAGACTTTCTTGTCATGTCTTTGAAATAAGTGATCTATTTTGGCTGCGGGGGGAAAAAAAAATCAATCTGGTTCCTTAATAGTGTTCAAGGCTAGTAGAGTGACTGGGCTTGTTTATAAATCTAATCTCATGGATGGTTAAAGTGAAAGGTAAAAAATAAAAAATATCCGTGTTTGATAGTTGGCATCTAAGCCAAAATCAAAATCAGACTGGGTAGTCATCTGCATTAATAATTCAGTTTTCCAAAGGATGAGTCGCAAATATCTAAATGCTATATGAAAACTAGAATGTATTCGAGGACAAGGTCCTAAACCTATGTTAGTCTCACAGATAACAATTTTTATGATACAGAATGCATACAAGTCTATCTTAAGACTTTCCTGCTAGGACAAAGTGGCACATCTCAATATGCTCCAAATTCTCCTCTGCCACAAGTGAAACTCCAACAATTCCAGTGGAACTTCTCCTGATACACTGAGATACAAGCCAGAAGTTACACAAGTCAATGCAGCATTTTTTCTTCAAAGCTTGTACATATAAAAAGAACTTTAACAGCAATCCAGTTGAACATTCAGCTCTGTGAATCTGAAACAGCTCCACACCTTGAGGCCCCCAAACAGCTTGTCAAAGAATTTAATGGTTACTTTTCCAGATGAGTAATGATGCTGGCCTGGGTTTCCAAGTAACCTGGTACTAGGCAGAGATTAAATTACCTGGTAGAGGATGTGCTAGGTAAAGACCTCCTCATTGCTCCTGGGCTCATGCTGTAGTATGAAGAACTTTCCAAATCTGAGAGGGAGAAATTAGGGCCTGTTCCTGCAGCTATCGGTGCTAGGGAAACAAAAGAGATTGCAGTCAGTAAGTCATGTGAATAAAGCATGAATTGCACTTCAAAATCACTTTCTTCTTCCTCATGAGTGTGTTTAGTTTCATGATGAGAACAGGTGGGACATGGAAATTAGGAAACGCTAACGGTAACTGGCATTGCAATCAAGAAGATACAAATTTTATCAAGAATACAGTGTTCCATGACATAGACTTTTTCTTACATTCCTCCAAAGGTATTCTTTTTAAAAAAAAAAAAAAAAAATTACAGCAAGACTTCCTTTAAGCCCTGCTTTTCTATTAATATAATTCTAACATTTAATGAAACTTGTTGCTTTTGCTTTTAGGACAACGTTGCATCTATTGGCATAGTTACAAATAGGCTGCATCATCCCGGTAGTGTGCTTGGCATAATCTATAAGCAGTATAGGCAGGGAAATACACACCTCAGGACCTTTGGTATATACATGATGTACATCCACAAGCACAGAGGTTACAAATGCTCCTTGGAGAAAGCACAGAAGCAGATGAGAAACCTGAGTTCTTTTCTGCCTGCGAACATCTGAGTTTTCCTCTGGCCTCTCCTCCAGCTAACTCAGAGCTAGAGACATATGACTCTCCAAAACTTCTATCCAGCAGTTAGCTTCCACTGTTCACCTCTCATTACCTTACCCAGCACCTAAGTTTTATTGTAAGGGAGATAAATACCTTTAATTTTCCTGTCCTAGAGCCTTTGTTTTACATTAAAACATTATGAATTCCTATACACCCTGAAGTTTGCAGGCACAAGCCTATGAACTCCATGTGCCATATTCTTCTCAGAACAGAAAAGCAACAGAGCAGTTAGTTTAATGTTAAAGTCAACCGATAATGCATTTCACAAAAAAACCCACTATACGGCAAATGGTACCATATCCACTGTTGCTGTTCCAGTGCTATTTACAGGACAATACAACTTTGGGAGCTGACAATTACAGATCATGATTTTCTCTCACATTTCAGAGACATCTGAAAAAGGCCGTACTGCACAATAAAATGCACAAGCTTGGCCTGGAACGTATTGTCTGAGAGCCCTGATTCAGAGCAACAAAGACGAAGCAGTCTCAATGCCACACAAGGATGCTGAGCCAAGTTTAATCTTTGGTCTGAGAATCTGGCCCATTTTCAAACATGAAAAAATCTTTCACTCCGACGGGGCAGGAGTGAGGAAATGAAGACAGGATAGCTCCTATCACCCAGCTAACATGTCTGGGCTGAAACACAGGCTTCTGGGAGTGCTGCCATTGACTGTAATGGGGCCAGTATTTCACCCCAAGTCTTAAGGAGCTCACAATGTCAGATTTGACAGAGGAATAATGTAACTTTGCAGCTGCCTCATCATCCCCACAAGACAATTAGTTGTTGCTTGGCAAGGATCTTTTAAGAACGTCATTGAGATGGAAAGGGAACAGCCTGGATAGCGACGGACTTTTAAAAGCATGGGACGGAAAATACACAACACCATTAAAACTTGAGAAAATCTGGAATGATCATTAAAAGGAATGAAGTTGGGAAGTAATTTATGACGAGAACACTCAAATCCTTTGTTATCTTTTCTTAACTATCATATGCTTCCTGCACACTGGTATATAAGAGGGTGTGTTAACAGAGAGAAAGAAAAATTAAGCATAGTAAAATTAACTTGTTTTATCAATTCGTGCTTTCTGCAACAGTTTCCTGACAGCAGCTACAAGAGGCTGTAAAACTGATGAATTTGCATGGAAAAAGAAACCGGTGTAAGTAATTTGTGTAAAAGGTAACACGGACATGGACTGCTATAATTCAGACACCCTGCAGATAGCAGACTGCTGCAGCGTGAGCAGTTATGGGTTAGAAAAATGACCACACTGCAGTCAGTCTGACTTGAATGGAAATCAATCATAAAGGTACTCTCTGCAGCATCTACTCCACAGTTTTCAGCAACTTCCTTGCCAAACAGATTTGTGCTCTGTAAACCCTTTGCTGATCAATTCCTCTGCACCCTCTACCTCCCAAAGCCTAACTTACAGTTTAAGCATACTATTTTCCAAACAGGAACATAAAAAGGCAAGCACTAAATTAAAGCACAGTTTCTTTCTGAGGCACTGTGAATTTCCTAGGCATTGCAAGATTTATGAAACAGTTTTATTCCAAACAGATATGGAAGAAAAGCTGGTATGTGGATAACGCTTCTCTTCTTTCTCTCACCCCCCCCTCTGTTTATCACTCTCTCCCCAAATCCTGGACATTCCTGTTCCAACCCTTGGATTGGCCCTATAGGAAAATGAAATGTATCTCCAGAGCAGGGATGAGGTAGGAACAACATATTGCTAACGCTGTGTAAACTCAGCACAAAGTAGAAAGGGCTAATCACACAGTAATTTCCACCATAGCAAATGTGAAGGATGCTTTGTTTGTCACAGGCCAAACCACCTTGCCACACTCAAGAGCCTGTTTGCAACCCGAGGGTTAAAGAACAAAACTCACCTCTAATAGACACTAACAGATCTAAGCAGCAGAGGTTAAAGTGCCTGGCTGGCCTATGGTGGCGAGTACCTGACACAGGAGCCACGATCCTGCCCCAACCAGCTCAAGGTCTCTGGCCCTAGAAGTGCTGTGGCAAACGTTGCACAGGGCTAAGCTGTTCTGAAATCCCTTCTCCTGCCTGCCTGACAGGCACGTATTTGGTGCCTGTCTTTCAGCAAAGGGTATTTGTACCTTTGCTTGCAGTTACCCCATTTACTATCATAAACCACAGCAATGTGCCGACGTGCAGAGCCCACACTGAGACTCTCAGGAAGAGGTTAATGTTTTTCATCCGCATGGCAGAAGGTCGCTTCCTCTTCCCGGCTGGAATTTGGTTGAAGCCCTGTGTGCTTTCTGTCTCTGCTTCAGCCTCAGCGGAGCTGAGCCAAAGCTTACACCTCCTGCGATGGGCTTCGTCTGCGGGAAGCTCGCTGCCCCACATCCGCCTCCTCTAGTCACCCTTGCGTTTTGCAGTGCAACATGCCACGAGAGTGGGCACAGCGCAGCTAGCCCAGCCAGGAGGCATCCAAGACCACTCCAAATGGCTTTTCATGCTGCCTTTGTGGACTGTCCGCCTTGCATGGGCCCAGAAAGCTGATGGGAAGGGAACACTTGCATTTATTTGCAGGATTCCCTGCAAAGGCTGCAGCTCTGAAAAGTAAGCAAAGGGATCAAAGTGGTGCAAACTGTGCCCAAGCTCTATCTAAATTAAACCTCTTCATTGTGGCATCTGACAATCCACCATGCAACCTCCCTAAACCCCTGTTCCTATGCCCCGGGAACACGCTCTGTCCCCGCATGAAGCAGCAGCATGGTTGGGCAGTTCCACTCCAGCACAGCCAGCTGTTACACGCTGCAGCCTGCAGAAACTCCAGGCAACGACATTAAAAACATGCCATTTCCCCCCTAAGAAATGCTCTGCAGCAAAAAGTGACCTTCTGATAGCTCAGGAACGTCTCCCAAACAGGAAAGGATGTCAGAAATTGCAGTTGTGAGTCAAAACAATAGTCTCCACCTACGTGCTGGCATCAAGATGTCATCTGGCCCAGGGCTCCGACCTGGCAGGGGGTGAGAAGGAAGGACCCCTCTTCCCCTAACACCCAGCCTGCTAATGTGCGCAGGCTTTCTAAGCAAACAGATGCCGCCCTCAGCTCCCATTCCAGCTGCTGGCATCACAAAAAAACCCCCTGTGCAGATGAGACACGTCCTGCTTGCTCTGAGGGGCAGGAGGAGCTAGTTTGCCCAAGAGGAGGAGGAGGAGGATGGTGGGTGCCTCTGCCTGAGCACCAGCCCTGTGCTACTCCCGGGGACATGGGGCAGCATCGCCCCTGCTGCCAGCCTGCTCCCTCCGCTGCCAGCTTGTTAGCTCAGATCTTCACCCGAAATGTCAAGAAAAATAACAGAGAAATTAACGAAAAGCCCTCTGACTTAACCCAATTGGAATATTTATTTTGAAAAATTTATTGAATTACAGAACAGGAAACCCACTAAATAAAACCAGCCAGGCTGGCATTTGTCTTCCTTGGAATACAGCACTCTCTTTTAGTCATGTTAATATTTAGTTTCTCTTTTTTCCATTTTTATGTATTTATTTTTACAAAGGGGCTGGGATGTGACTAAGATCATTACATGTGTAACACTGCAGCAAAGTGATAATGTGTTTAAGGTTAAATGGGAGAAACATGACATTTGACTAATAAACTTTTTCCTGAGTTGTGACTCCATAAACAAAGGGAAACACACTGCGCTGCTGCTGCCGAGAGGAAAGGGGAGCTGGGTGGTTTTTTTTTTGCAAGGCCTTTGTTTTCTACACACTGTATCGTTAGATTCAAAGAGGTTTTGCCGAATACAACAGATATGAAATGTGTGATGTTCATTTTAAAATTACAAGTACAGCCTGCTATTGACCATCTAATTATGTTGAGTTCCATTTATAAACATAGCTAACCACTAAGTTTATAGAGACTTTTTGTGCTGCTTTAATAGGATATTGATCGAGAGCAAGGTTTGAGTGGACTGCCATTGAATTGTGTAATGGCATACAAAAGGCAAGGTCACGGCAACTGTTCACTCTATGCCTGCAGTCTATTTTTTATTATAATCTTTTTTTCTTCCTCTCATACCCAAGCCCACACAGTGTGTTTTGGATAGCAGTGCTTTGCTAAGGAATATAGAGTATCTTTTTAAATGTTAATTTTCATGCTGCTGACTTTAACTACCTTCACTACTGTAATGCTTAGTATAGCAGAAAACATACAGGCTGCTGTTTAGAGAGAGCTGTTTTATTATACCGTGGCTTTCACACACGTGCTCTGCGTGGAGGAGAGCCTCTTCTCCCCTCCTGGGCTACAAGAAGGCAGCAGCATCCTCCCTGCCCCTTGCAGCCACTTGCCTGGCCCAGACCCACGACAACGAGCCGGGCCACCCCACACCTTGCCATAGGCGTCCAGTACACGCTGGGC